TTATAAAAAGAAGAGGGCTCTTTAGAAGAAATTAAACTAGCATAGATGAACTAGATATACTGTAGAGGGCACTGCTCGTCAGATACCAGCTAACTATGTTTTTGTATATTTTTTCTTCAAATTGAGGTATTTTGTCCTTTCTATTAGTGAGAACCAAACAATTTTCCACGTTTAAATGTACATTGGACCAATAAATGAATGAATTTAATTAATTGAAATGAAGTAAAAACAAAATAGATCCCCAAATTCAATAATTGTAATTCTGCTGAAAATGTTTGTTTTCCAACAATTTTTCAGGATAAAATATATACAATAATTTCACAAATACTTCTATAAAAAGGACAAAGAGCCATTTTTTTAGGTGAACAAAGGCATAATTGGAGTAGATGACTGGTCCTGAAACTTTTTTTTTATTGAAACATAAACTTTCTAGAAGTTCAACGTTCGAAGTTGCAAACTGTTCCTAGTAATAATTATTCAAAATTATAACATCTCTTCAAATAACATTGTCATGATTGTGGACAATGTTGCTATGACAACAAAATGATTTTAAAGAAAAGATAGAATCCTCACAAATTGCACCTTGCATGATCCAACCTGGACCCTCTTTTGAAGGCTTTCAAATCTTATACTTTGAGACGTGCATAATATAGTTGAAGCATATATTTTAAAGGGATCGTTTAACAATGTTAAATCTGAGATACACAGCCCTACATGCTATCAGTGTCAGTGATATGGTGTTATATTGAAGCCCTAAACAAAAATTGTGCTTCAAAATGATCAAGAAAACTAGTGCCTCAAAAGAGTAAAAACCTTTGAGTGACCAGTTTTACCCCAATAGACTGTAGTGTTATGAAAACGGTTTGGCAAAGGCAAAATTTGATTTCGAATTTCAATCATAAATATCTTGATAATCAGACAGGCGATCAGCTTGTAAAAGTTATGGTGTTCCTGACTGACCTGAAGGTTTATAATTATCATTGCAACATGAGCTAAATCAAGGATTTTTTTTAAAGGATCTAAGACTAAGTTATCCGATCCCTTTAAGAGAGTGTACTCCTTGAATGACCTCCAATCAAGGGTACATACTGTGGTTAGGAAGGAAAGGCTGCTAATGTATGATTTCTTAGACTAATTTCCCTTTTTAATTATGCTAAGACCTCTATTAATATTATTTTCCTCTCAGAAACCCTTACGCTTTCCTCAGTGACTATCCCCCTCAGCACCTGGGAGCCCTGTCTTTCCCAGCCCAGTTCAATTAGTGCAAAGATTTCTATTTTTTAATACCTTCATGTGAGCTCTTTGTTTGTTAGATGTTTAAAGAACAAAGTTTTCTATTGTCCTGTGTGCACTTTTGTATCTTTCCAGGTTTTTTTGTTCTTGTTATTACCAGATCTGTTCTGAACTTATCCAAATGTCCAGGTTTATGCTCCTGTTTATATTTAGTATACCGGTAATGGATATTTCTAATGCTGATATATGAATGAAAAATATTTCTTGAGATTTTGAAAAGAGATCAACAGAATAATTTCTTTTAAAAACATTTGTGTCGCGAAATGTCATGCAAGTTCTTTAAAAAAACATACCTGTAATGAATGATTTAAGATCATCGTGACCTTAAAGGATTTTCATTTAGGTGCAAGGTCCCTTCTCTGTAATATGATTGACTTGTAATAAGTATATTTAATACCTGGCTTTGTCTATTATTATGATATCAAACTTCATACCCTTGAGACTATACAAGTAGGGAACAGGTGGTTTCTAAAAATAAGAACCAAAGTAGAACAGGAAGGATGCTGAGAGAAAGACTTGAAAGAAAGGGAAAGCGATTGAAAATATAGAACTAGAGGAAAACAGCAGATTTCTTTATGGATTGTGGGGTGGGGGCTTTATTGTAGTAAAAATAGATTTTACCTTGCAGGGATTATTATGTACCTTTTATTTTCTTCTAGAACTCTTTTGAAAATTTTGGAGCTGTTTATTATGCTCTTTGCTGATGTGCATTTTTATCACTTAGTTCTGCTGAAAATTCAACACTTTCCCATTTTGGGGGTGAAGTTATCCAAAAGAAAGAAAGAAAGATTTTACCCCCCAAAACTGCCTACCGGTACATGAAAAATGTTACAAGTTACAACATTCTGTTACCTAGCTCATCTTTCCTCTACTTTCTGCCTGCTAGAACACACTGTTTTGGAAAGAAATTGGGAGAATATTGAATTAAATTGCAAAATGATTTACCAGCTGAACATCTTGATTGTTGTTATTATCTTTCATGTAGGTAACGACGGTGAGTCATGCATTAAGTCTGTACTTGCCTGGATAGTACAGCCCCATGTATAGCAATTTATGTAATTAGATTGGTTTCCTTGTTGCCTATGTGTAGTTAAGAGTTTGTATTAGTTGTTGATTTTGGATCACTAATCCTTTTCTGAGAGCCAATGTACTATTGATAGAGAAGCACATATACCAGCTAATTTATATGATTGAGTGGTGTACGAGTGCAGGGTGCTGAGTGCTTTTAAATAACACTTGAAAAATAAAAACAGGCTTTGTTTGTACATCATAATACACCTACGGTATGACTGATTTAGAAATAGAATACATACATACATGTAAATGACACTTTTCCAACAGATTATATAAAAAAAAAATGATATTCAGCATATATTTCTAATATTTTGTATTGTACTTTTAAGATCATAAAAAGAATCAAACTTTGAATTCATGATGAATGATTGGTAGCTGAAAGTATGCCATATTTAGATTATGAGCCAGCAACACCATAAACCACTGTCACCACAGATCATATGATCCCCATAAAACCTATTCTGGGCATTGTGAATTAAATCTCTGTTGAGAATATCTAAGATTAATCATTTGTAAATTATTTTACATTGTATTCAGGTGAAAAGAAGTGTTTTCCAATTATATGTTTCACAACAATGATAACATAAACCAGAGTTACCGCATCATAACACCATTCCTTTTATTTTGAATGAAGTATAAGCTGTGTGGTTGGATAGATGTTGAGCAAATATGGTCATGTGACATGATCACATGACCTCATCAACACATACCCAGTGTAACTAATTGGTAGCTATTCAGGAAATATGCCAGGCTAAACACTGTGCAGGAAATTCATCATCGGAAGTTTGAGCTAGTCCTATGAGCTACAACAAGTATATGTGGGAGGATTTTTTTTTTAGGCCACATGGGATTATGAACTATCAGTCAAATTGACTTTAACTAATGGGAAACTAAGAATTGAATAATAGTATACAGGATCAGTTCTTTTACATTATTGAACACATTTCTTGATGTTCTCAAACTGAACTTTACAGAGACATTCTTTTTTTTTGTGGGGGGGGGGGGGGGGGGAGGGGGGAGGGGTCCTTTGAAATAGAAATGGCATAGTCATATATATTTACATTATTTCAACTGGTTACATCGAATGAACTTGATAATATTTGTTTCAAGAATGTTCATAATCATTGTTTGGTTTCACATCAATTATTTCTCATTACCTGTACGTCAGCCGTGACTAAAGGCAGGTTAAACAGCACATGTATTTTGTCAAAAAAAGAAGCCACAATTAAAGTTTGTGCTTGTAGGATGTTACATTCATGCACAGAGCAAACTGCAGTGCTGCATAAAATTGCCAATGCATTATAATTTAATTGGAGATTTAGAGCTTGAGTAGGATCACTATCCACTTACAAAGTGCTATTTTTAAAAACAAAAAAACAGACTAATAGACAGGAATCATTATTGTTATAATTTGAGGTGTGCTGTGTCATCCATGCCAGGTGCCTTTCTTGTCATTTCATCATCATTATCTGAGCACTCAATACACAAATCCCTGCATTTATCTGTCATCATTTACGCTACAAATGGTAGCGTTCAATTATCCCCTCGAGCAGATTCACCCCCTCATTTCGATCAGCCCTCTAGCTCGCTACACTCATTACTCTTCATCCCATCCTCATGTTAATGATATCCGACGGCTCGACAGTTGACATCTCCCATAATCCTTCACCAAAGATAATGGGATCGAATCTCCCCCGAACCACCGCAAACGCTTGCGCAGGGATCTCAGCGAAGCCCGCCAGTGGTTGGGGAGTCGTGGGTCTATTTTTGACTTTCACCTGCGATCTGATAGTACCTTGAGTAATGTGTTAATTAGGACCACCTAAACTAATACTTCCTTCCCCGCTTCTGGCTATGATCTTGAGTTTAAAAAGAAAAAGTTTAGCCTTTGATTTTAGAAGATTATAATGAAATCCTGACTCATTGGGGGTTAGAAGTAATAAAAGACATCGATGGAAGAGCTAGGCAGGATAGGAAGGGGGAGATTGTATTCATTCACTTTCTGAGAAGCTATTGATCACTATTTAAGCTGATATTGATTCTGTATTGATGGCTTTGTTGTGAAGATTTGAATGGTTGAGAATGTTGTTTTTCTTTGGGACATATATCCTGGAGGCTGACATGTAAAGAGTGCAACACTTACAAGCACCCCTCAAGTAAGCTGAGAAAAGCCATTCAAAAATCTTTACTTTATACAGTAACTGTATCTACATTACTTGTACATGTAGCAATATATGTCGTCTCTTGATATCTAGAAGGGGTTAACTGTGTATAAAATCTTTTGAGTTTACTCCCTTCTTGGTCTTTAATACAGTGGAGAAATACCCTGTACAGAAAAAAAGTGTGAGAAAAATAAATTGTTGTTCTAGAGAAAAAGTAAGAAATTCAAGAGAGGTGAGCAGATTTAAGGCATAGTGAGATAGGAATACATGTAAGAAAGATTATTTTTTTGTTAAAGAGCATAAAGGTATACATTACACCTGAGAATCAAAGAGAAAATAATTAAACAGTTAACTATACATGTTTTAATCATATCCTGCTTAGATGCCAATGGGATGACATAACCGTAATCGGTTTATAAAACAAACCCAAAATACCTGACAGTACAAATTTAGTTTGAGCAAACTCAATCAATAATAGTATCCTAAATCCTGGTGACCAGTCAGTCGGTTCCTGTTGGTATCAGTGAAGCACGAAAGACATCCTACAAATGAATGAAAAGGCATTGGACTTTGACCTAGCGAGCGAGCGATTGTCCTCGCTGTTTGTCATGATCGTATGAGTCTCATTCTTCCGTGGGACCCTATTAAGAGCAGTGCCTAGCTATTTCTGTCCGCTGACGCTCTCCCACCGGCCTCTGGTAGCTTGTGATTCGTTGTGAATGAATGAATGAATGGGCTTGGGGGTGAAGCGAGCAAGCAAGGGTGGGTTGGAGAGAGAGGACTGTGGGACATATCCGTGAGTTGAGTCGACGCTGCACTGTGGTCATTGTATTGGTGAGCCATCATAGAAGCAGGATCTCTCATAACAAGCTCCTGAGCTGAGTGTAATATCTTGGATCAAACAACAATGTACATGTACTTGAACTTGAAGAATATATTTTAAGCAACAAACATTTAGTTGTCACTGACCTGCATTGCTGTTGGAACAGACTTTTGTGATATATATTCTGACAGAGATATAATCTTTCTGTCACAATATCAATAAAATTGACACATAATCTTGAGGAGATAGTAAAGAGCGCTGAAAATAAGTATTTATGGGAGACGGTTATTTTACATCAGACAGTATGGGGAGTGAGGTGGATCAAAAGAAATCTGTGCTTTTGCCAGGTAAGTTTATATTTCAATTATAATATTTTTGGGGACATGTTGAGTTATTATTTTTTTTTACAGTACTTTTCTTTTTGTGTAGTGGTATAGGGGTTTATAGCATGAAAATCACAATTTTCATATATGTAAATCCCAAATATCTATAGAGTTCAGACATTCTACATGCAGACATGACATTGTAATTTAATACCAATATTGATAATTCAAGATATTGAAGGCGACATCAATCACAGTTAAACCAGATACTTTGCAACATAAAACTTTCAAAAATTGTTACAACAGCTGCTTTTACGTCAAGAATCTTTTGCGAATTGCAAAAATTTAGTTTTAATTACAGTATGTCAGTTGTGTTTAGATTATTTTGCATTGTGACGCTTGAATGAATATGAACCACTTGCCCGATTCATGAATATTTCATGGCCGCAAACATGTCTGGTTTTACATACCATGCAGTCAACATATTTTGATAAACTCTGCAATATATATTATATATACAGATGTGCATGTTATGGAATTCCCAAAGCAAAAGTTAGTGTACCGTAACTGTAAATAACAAGTTTATTTTATTTGTGTCTGTAGTGAGTAATTCAACTCCTTGCTATTGACATTGAATGGAAGAGAGCTATACATTACAATGCAGGAAATACATATTCTTTCTGAAGAGAAACACAATCTTGATTCTAGTACATTGTTTTCTTGTCAAGTATCAAATCAATTTTTTGCAATTCTAAAATGTACATGCCTTTGGAACGCCCAAGTATTGGCATCAATAGTGTGCATATATATTGGGGTTCAGGTACCGAATAGAGCAATTAAGTCATTTGAATGTAAACAATCTGATAATAACTGATGATATCCCTTGTCTATATGACTGCTTTTGTCTGGTTGGTTCTGCTTTCAAAAGTTGCATCACAGTTACATACTGAGTCCAAAGTACAAATGCTTATCAAATATGACTAGATATTAATGCAGACTATTGCTTATTGTTCAGGATTGTGAGTAGTTTGTAGAATGATTGGTTAATGAATCATATCAATGAGATAGCAAGTAGACATATGATTGAGTTGAGTTTGGGGAATGGCTTTTCGATCTGCTAACTTTCCAGTTTCAAAAGACGCCCATTGTTTCAGTTTCATGCAATCAACAGTTACTATTTGCATTGTGGCAGATATATATCTCTTAAAGGGGAAGTCCACCTGATCATATTTTTTCTGGTTTTAACCTGTATGACTATTGAACTCTATCATTGACATAGGCGTAATGTAGGAGCCTCATGATTCCTGCCTGTAGTGTAGGCATAGGTTATTAGCAGATTAATGAGAGAATATGATCAGTGAAAAATGAACGAAATCCTGTGAAGAATATACAAAATATGAATTTTTGAAGTGGTAATCAAACACAATTCGCAGAGTAAACATTATTGCAAGGTGTTATCGGCATTGGTACCAGGCAACGTTTTGCTCTATGGTCAAATACAAATACAATTCAACTTTATGAATTGCAAGTCAAGACTCCGAAGGCGAGGCATATTGTGAGTTTTTTTTCATGTACTTACGGTAGTTGTCTGTCTTCATTTGTTTAACCCGGCTAGCTAGAGTGCATAGTGTGTGGGATAGGAATGTTCACTTTTTGGGGGTCGGTATTAACTATTGATCTGAGCTTTAAAAATGCATGTTTTGACATTTCTATTGCCTCGTTTTTCCCTCAAGGCAGCGCCTCAACTTTTCATAATAGCAGTACCTAATGAGGCATGATGGAGTTAGGTGCGATTTCAAAACAGAATATTGTTTTTATAATCGTCATCATGGGGCTTCTAGAGCATGCAGAAATTGTGCTGACATGCATATACACTCCATACAGGCAGCAATGCTAATGAGAAATTTACCAATTTCTTTGTCAATATTCATTTTGATCTGTCTTTCATTTTAATGGAAAATCATGAGAGGAAAATATGCACCATACATGAAGTACACAACAATTAACAACCTGTAAAATGTCCACCAGTGGAAAATTTGAATGAAAATTTAAAAGAACCATGCATCGCATAGCGGAATTGACATAATCGTATGAATAGGGGTAATACAGAAGCATAAAATAAAAGAAACTGGTTTTTAAGAGTTAGTAGTGCCAGCTTATATGTAGTAGTATGTAGTACGTCACTTCCAAGATAAACTTGTTATTTGGTTTATAAATGAAATCCGTTCAATAGATTCATCCCTATAGGTGTACCAATACAATTATGTAGTCATCGTTCAATCTTTTTTTAGGATGTGATATATTGTGATACTATATAAAGAAATTATCTAAGCTAGAAGAATTATAGGAATCTTGTTAAACTAATAATTACTCCAATTTATCCCACTTTCGTAATGTTGATGAATCCTGCAGTAGCTGCTGATGTCTCTGTTCATGTTGTTGAATATCATCAGGTCCTCGTGATAAATCTAGGCCCTACTCTTAGACCCCATTAGACCTTGGAGATCTATTAACCACTTGGTGTTGTAGGGATTTAAGAATTAACATTTCGTAATTCACTCAGTCGCAAAGAAATTAAGAATTCATGCACTGCATTGACAGATGTAGTTTTGGATGAGTCGTAAAGATATTGGACTTTATTATGATAGAAGGAAGAACAATTACATTTTCATTGTTCTTTCTATAAAGTGCAATTTCAGGTTAATTTGAAACCTAATTTTAACCATGAAGCAGAGGTTAAAAGGGCATCATCTGTCATTACTTCACTGTGTGTCATGTTTCAAGAAAATAATTTAGAACCATTTATTCAGTATTCGCTGTGAACATGTTAGTTAAAATTGGTGTTGTAGAGATTGAAGAATTAACATTTCATTTATTCAGTATTCGCTGTGAATATGTCAGTTATAATTATTCATGCCAGATTTAATTTAATGTGTGTAATTGACCATACATCGGGCAAATCCACATCTAATATTTTAGTATATCTGATCACTGTATTATAAAGTAATGTTGAAACTCTTACATTTACTTGATAAATGACTTGTCATTATCAAGAAAATGGTAGTGCATGTCCATGTTGTGTACATTTTATGCTAAGAATATCTTGCTTTATACCTCTCTAATATACTTTTGTGGGAATCTTGTGGAGATAATGCACATGAATACAATAATTCTCTCAGAATAACTAAGTTATTTCTTGGGAGGCAGTTTCCTTTAATCAATCTTGTATTTTTAATTACTGCCTAATTAGTTGTGCTGTTTGGTAATAAAGGCAGTAGGCTACATTTGGTAGATGATTGATAACTAGTGTGGTTCTGCAAGAAGATCATCTTTCCTTGTGGTTAGGTGTAAAAACCACAACATGGATGTTATGATCATGTTGCTATGTGCTACTACATGCATCTCATTAGTCCTACACATAAACAAACGTGACATGAAAAATGGGCTGTATTGGGCTTGTCTGAAAGAATTAAGTGAGCGTCTGAGATCGTGGGCATGTCAGCGTGGCGTAGCTTCCGTTGCTTCGCTGGCAGGAAATCGTAGCAGAAATGATGATTTTCAGATGCATCCTTGTGAAAAGATCAGGCAAGAATGATTAAAAAAAGAAGACAAAAATGTTTAGCGACAAACCATATTTCTAAAGGGGCTAAGCAAAAATCAGAAATCAGTGGAATTGTTTCGTCCGTTAATATAGATATATGCAGCTGGAAGGATGAAAATGTAACATCTAACTATCTGAACCTTCATATAGATATTTTACAAAGTAGACTAATCTCAAATGGAAAGAAAATACATCATAGCCTAAATGTATTTACTGAAAACTGACCTGAGGTCACCTGACCACACCCCTTTTTTGAACAACTGAAAAATAGCACATCATGAATGACTAGATTATCAAGAATAAGAAAAATATGCTAGTAATCATATGACAAATAACAGAGGGTGACAGTTGGAGACACTTTTTGGAAATAAGATTCTAAAATAAACAATTTAATAATCCCAGGTTACCCATCTCTCTGTCTGGCATACAAAGCACTCCAGGGGGGCATTTCACAAAACTTGTCATCAGTGACAACTGACAGTCTTTGTTTTAAGCTACTGAAATCCTTGCTTCTGATTGGTTATCAGCAGATTTGTCACTGATTCTTGTCATTTGTCATTGAAAAAAGGTTTTGTGAAACGGTCCCCAGGTCTCGAGCTATTTCACACCTAATTTTCTAACGGCTAATCTCTTTGATAGCTGATCAAATAGACCTCAGCTGAGGTATATCACACTCTACAAGGATCCTGTTTGAATAGAGACAATCTAGACCCTGACAAGTTATTGTCCTAATTTGTAAAGCCCTAGTGGTTTAGTGACTTGGTTTGTGTATACTCTCAGAGCAAACTGTTTTAAGTCTATATATCTTTGGCTTGTAAGCTATTTAAGATTACACAGTACCCATTCCAAGTTCAAATACCCCAGGTACACATTCCCCATTGTACTGTCTTCATTGTTGGAGAGTTAAAGGATGTGCTCGGTTTTTTTAAGGGTACTTTCAAAGCCTACATCATCTTTTTATATGATAGACCTTTTCAAAGCTGCTTATTGGATTAAAATCTTTGATATAAATGAAGGTATGTTATTTGTGTATCCTGGTGACTAGATAGAGAGATACATTTATCAATAGAATGGGTTGTTGTTGAGACCAGGTGAAGTTCATTTCGGATAATTTTGTTATTAGAAATCTTATAACCAGAAACTACTTGAGTGAATTGTTTTTAGGTATAAAGTAGCAACAAGACTTCATAAAAGGTTCAGAGTGAGTGCATTTTCACAAGATCTATCTTGAGAAGAAAAGTTGTCATATTGCCAAGTTTGCTTCTCCATTTGTAGTCCCCTATTGGGAAAGGGAGATTCCTAGCTGTGATATACATGTATGCTGAAATAGATTTTATGGATCTGTGTTGCATATGTAGGCCTCTTTTTCAGGAAGGAAATGATACTCAACGCTGTGACTTTAGCTTCAACTATTTTAGATCTACAACAAATTTTGTAATACTCCCCCTTCTCCCATCTCAAAGTGTTTGTCATAGTTTTCCCTGAAATATAAAGCTTTGTAATTATATTGTCTGTTGAGTGCTAAAAGGGGGTTAAGGTAGCTCAGCAAAATGTAGTGAGATGAAAAGAGGTGTCTGGAATTCTAACTGCATAATTGTTGAAAATACGGTAGTGATTTTATCACACAGAGGCAGAACTATACTTGTTAGGTTATTGCCCTAGTAAATTCACATAGCATGTCAATGATACTCTTGTTAGCTAAATTTTCATCAAGATATGTCAAAAAAGAAACTTTACTCAACAAACTTCACCAACTATTATTCATTTTGAGTTAATGTATGGAAAGTGGATTTCATCTATACTAGATGCCATTATTTTATAGTAGTTGAATTAAATACTTAGTAACCATGAGGGGATTCTAGAAGAAACATGCATAGATTAAAATACATTAATAAACAGGTCTATAATCGCGATGGCCACAGGTTCAGGGTGGCATGGTACACATAAGTAGGAAACATAAAATCCTACATCTCTAAACCCGATCATTGATTGTATGATTAGGTAGTTGCTGTATATATAAGTTTTATGAGGGATCAAAGGAAAACATTAGTTCAATCAGAGACAAGCTGCACCTAACTTTTATAGGTTTTCCCCGAAGACCACGCTATTCCTGATCCATATAAGATCAGAATCAGAAGGAACTTGGCTGCACGTGATGCCCAAAATATATAAAGCCAAGTATGCAGTATTTAATGGTGCAAAACGTTCCTTCGTATGTAACAATTTTTACCTTTTTTATTGAAGATACAATAAGAAAAACATAAAATATAGTTCAGACTCTACATTCATCTTGCTATTAAACTGGTTCTTTTTTTTTTGAGGGGGGGGGGGGGTGGGCTGGTAGAAGGAGCAGAAGAGAAGTAGAGAAGGGGTCTGTTTGTCAATGATCATGAATAAGTGAAATATTCTTGCTATTGCTTTTGGAAGAATGAAAATGATAAAGTAAAAGAAAAATCTCCCCAGAATAATAAAATGACATACATGTAGTTTGAGCTTCATAATGTATAGTTTTCTGCTTTTGTTAATATTCTTCTTAAATGTTATCCTGTAGTGTTGAAACAGAAAGAAAAGGTTGTGAACATGATATGTAGGCAACCCTTGGAAAGGAAGTTGAAAGATTTCTATTTCTAGTTCAAATATAAAAACTGCTTGAATTTCTCTTTTTATTGATTCAAGCTGCTGCTATAACACTGAAACATAATAAGATAATCAGGACCCATAACACTGACTAATAATGTATAGTTTTCTGCTTTTGTTAATGTTCTTGTAAGTGTTCTCATTTTATTAGTTTTGAAACAGAAAGAAAAGGTTGTGAACATGATATGTGGGCAACCCTTGGAAAGGAAGTTCAAAGATTTCTATTTCTAGATCAAATATAAAAACTGCTTGAATTTCACTTTTTATTGATTCAAGCTGCTGCTATAATACTGAAACATAATAAGATAAGCAGGACCTATAAACACCGCCTCGCCTGCCCAAACCCTGTCGAAACACGCTTTATCGGAACTGTGAAAGGAGATAAGCGCCAATAAAAGCACAAGTTCATGGACTGAAAGTCCCGTTAAAAGTGTGATTTTGTAGCCACCTGGAGGCCGAGCACTCCCAGGTGAATTGATGTTTGACGTCATTTCATACCTGTCATTCTCGATTTGTAGGGGTTCTGTATCTTGTTCCCACTTTTATTCATTTCGATTTGATGAAATCTACATCTGTGTTGCAAAAAAAATTTGTGTCTTAAATAATTCTTTGAGTCTTTGGAAAAGAGCCTTATAATTAGAAATGGAAAAAGGAAGGAAGATAGTATTAAAGATATAGTTCATTTTTATTTGTATCATGAATAAACTGGATATTTTGGCAGAATGGTTTTTAGTTATGCTACATGTACCCTCTGCTGCTATATTGCCCTCTTCAAAATTCTGTATTTGCCCCTAATACAGGGAAAAAATTAATATTTATTTTTCGGGGGCTACTTTTCAAGCTTGCCTGCATGAAAATAACATTCTAAAATTTGTTTTGCATTGAACTCTATGCAAATTTACAGGGGCTCTTTTCTGATTTTCGGGGGCTCTTTTAGGCATTTCGGGGGCTAATTCGCCCCGAGCCCCCGTGTATTTTTTTCACTGCCCTAATAATGGTAGGTTGAAAAATATACAAATTCAATTTAATTTGATTCATTTTTTAAAATTATTACTATTTAGGTTTGGCCCTGTTTATATTTATTACTCAAAGAAGTAGGGGTGAAGGGGATGGGGGTTAGTGGAGGAGAAAAGGGGAATGGGGGGAGGGGGTAGATGAATAGAAGAGGGGATTCCTCTTTCTGTCTGTCTCTCATTACAGCCATGATATGACCTGAGTGAGTTTCAAGCCTTGTTGACACTCTGGATATCGACCATGTGCCGCAGTTGCTCTAACCTTATAGCTTTGCACTCTCTAGGGTTCAAGTTAACATAGCGATAAAGTATGAAACACCCTCCAAGGGTATGTAGCACGTGCCCCCTTTCATATTCAGTACCAAAGAGGGTATAGTCTGGATTAAGTCTGGACCGGATTAAGTCTGGACCAAATATGCTGTAGGCCTATATGAAGTGAAAAAGTGAGAAAATGTGATTTTGATGGTGAATTATTAACCATGAACTCACAGGGTTTAGGTATTTCTTTTGTATGATTCTAGAATCTAGATTTTAATGAGAAAATTAATATAGCACCAGGAATTTAGCCTCATAAAATTTAAAAAAAGCATCAGGAGTGAACCAAGATTACAAAAGTGGTCTTGGTAGTAAGCGAGAGGTTCAGGGTTTAAAAACCAATTTGACAGGCTAGTTACCCTATGGTATGGCGATATCAGTCTTCATTTACCAAGTCCCTCAGATAGGGCTCGAAGCTGTAGGTCTATATACTGGCTTTTCAGTGCTTAGTTATTATAATATTGCACTCTTCTTTATAGCAGTTAGTCAAAATAAAAATAAATCAGTGTTAAACTGGAGATTAGATTTCTGGTGTGAAGTGAGGTATGGCATTCTCAATTGTAGAGATGCTTTACAGTGCAAGGCCTTGGCTGCCGCATCACAGGCAGACAGACAGACAGCCAGCATTCACTTCATGTCATCCAGGGAGAGGTGAAGTTCAACTGAACAATACGCACAATGGATTTTGTATAATCATGTCCGGATTAATTATCCAGGTTTTTACTTGAGTGCTTTTGTGAAGTTTGTTTGAATCACGTTTTGGGGATGAGCATCAACTTTGTATGATAAGATCTATTTAGCTGGGAAATGAGTTTGCTGCGATGATATGGTATATCCCAGTTCCGATCTGATTGTAATGGGTGCTTGTGGTGTGCATTTGTACTACTGGCATGCTTGTCTGTAAGGTACTGGTACCTGTTATCATATACAGCTGTTAGCATGCTAGAATGAATGTAAATATTTGATTGAAATGATTGGTGTATCATGTGGTTTTACATTCAGAAAAAATTGCTTCAAAATTATTCAGTTGAATGTTTATTTGTTTTTCAGGATAACTCAATACAAATGTTATTTCATCTCTCTATATATTGCCATACATGCATGTTCTGAATTTTGGATGAATTTATTAGTAGGAAATTAAGGTTTACAGTGTACGTGTATTTGGGGAGGAGGAAGTAGTATTGATAGAAAATATAAAAATACTCCCCCCCCCCCCCAACCCATGTACCCTGTTTGAATGCTTTAGTATCAGTAAATGAAAGGGACTGTTCTCAAATTTGCAGTTTCCCTGCTATTAACCTTTTCTTCCAATTGTCAATGTATTATGTACACTGTAAGGTGTGTAGTTTGAAACTGCAGAATACCAGCTTGTTATAGAAGCATATATGAGACAAAGCTCTTTTTAAGCCTTGTAATGAGACTAACTTCTTGTTTGAATGACGGGTCCTCTATTGACAATGGCATGTGTTTATGTAGCATTGCTGGTATTCATATTACCGGTGTGACTGTTAAACCTGTAACATATTCAAACAAATAGTCCTCAGCGTTGCCGTTTACTGGTATTCAGTTGCATTTGTTTGACGATTCCATGAATTGCATCCTGTACAGAATATGTATTGATCTTGTCTTTTATACCCCTCCCCCCCAAACAAAACAAAACAAACAAAACAGAGATTGAAACAAAAATTGCTATTTTTTTTTACCATTAATTATTGAGTCTTTTGGTATCCCTACCATAATGGCCACATCAAGAAGTTTAGTCTCACTCAAGTTTTAATGAAATAGATGGATGAAAGTCATATGTTGTATGGGACACATTCACAGAATCACTCTTTTGAAGGTTTGCATAGCTGAATTGGTGTCTGCATGCTCTCATCAATCTTTTTCATTCACTCCCATTTTCTTTCCCTCTTCCTTGCAGCCATCCAATCCCTAGACTCCCTCAATGATCAGATCGTTCAGTTCATCTTCACCCCAAAGTCAGCAGAATGCGACGTTAGCGGAGCCGGCACAGGTGAAAGCCTCAAGCCTCTCGAGCGCGACTCGTTGAAGTCTAACCTCGCGCTGATGCGGAGACTTCTCGTCGATGCGCAGGCCAAGTTTCACCGTATGATGGACGATAATAAAAAACTTGCAGCAAAGATTGATAACTCATTACAGGTGAGGGTTTTTAACTTTGTATTTAAAAGATTTTAACTTCCAACCCGTACCCCGGCCTAGTCCTACCGCTAGTGACCTCCCCATTACGAGACCACTGCTATACCACTGAGCCGTCACGTCTCCTCATTGATAACAAATGTGTTTTCATCAAGTTTTGATATGAATGACATTTACACACTGGAATGATTCCAAATCTTTCACAAACATGTTTCTGTGCACAACAGATAGCTCAGCCTTGTTTTGTATCTATTGAAAACTCATGAAGCATTCATGTAAATCAGAACTTCTTACAATGTGCAAGCTACAGAGCCCTTGAAAACACATTAGTGTAAAGTAATGAGCCATGTCACTGGTATAGCCTTGGTATAAAGGTTCTTACCCTGGTGCATCAGAGCATTGGATCATCCAGATCATTCAATAGGTATGTTTTCATCAGCTCGAGAATTGCCAGTGGTAAGTGAGCTAGCTGTTCTAGAGTGTTTGGATTCCTAGAATGGGTTGGTAATACCTTGACAGACTTGTCTGTCTTTAAATCTATAGGTCCATAAATCTATAATAAAGATACAAAGATATTCACTCATGTTCGGGTGCTGTATGTGTCTGGTTATTTACAAAACTAGATACCCTTCTGTAATCAAGCAAATATTTTATTAAACATACAAGAACAGCTAGCCCCGCAGAATATCAATACTCCATTCTTTGTAATTTTTGCTTGCTTTAACCCTTTCTCTCAACTCTGTTCTGTTTCACATATCTCTGCCTCTTTCTCTCCAGGGATAAAAATTAATATTCATTTTTCGGGGCCTACTTTTCAAGCTTGCCTGCATGAATATAACATTCTAAAATTTGTTTTGTATTGAACTCTATGTAAATTTATGGGAGCTCTTTTCTGATTTTCTGGGGCTCTTTTGGGCATTTCGGGGGCTAGTTCGCCCTGAGCCCCCATGTATTTTTTCACTGTTTCTCTCCCTACCATCTTCTTCCTCTACAGTGTATTACTATACTTCTGAAGATCTCATCGCCTCTTACCTTCTCTCATTCTACCCTACCCTCCATCCATCCTCTCTACACTTCAGTTTCATCTCGAAACCATTGTCCTTCCTTACTCTTCAGATTTCACAACATATCTCTTCTCTCTATCCACTTCCTGTAATGACTCTGTAATGGTCTATCGAGTTGTTGCTTTATACAGCAAATCCATTATTCATATATCAATTTCAAATTGTATTTTTGTTGAAACCGCCACCAGCCTCAAAACATGGCTCTCCAGAATGAGCACGATATCCTGTGATGAATATTTCATGCTTCTTCAGATCACTCTGTCTGCCGGCAAGGCCAACACAGAAATGATGACCTTTATTATCTTCTCTGTTTAAAAGGAAGGGGGGGGGGGCTTTGGTGGAAAATGTATCAGAAGGCTGTAATTCATAGAATTTTCATAATATACTTTGACAACTCTAGCAAAGCTTACTTTCAGTTCTCAATCAAGAGTGTGTGATCATATACGGTTAAGACAGCCATCTTTATCTCCTGACTCCAGCAGTAAAAACTGACAATCTTTCTGATACTGGTTCTAAGACGCATGCTCCTGCACCAATTATTTTGCAGGAGATATTCTGCCCTAACTAAGATTTACTTAACTTTGGACAAAGCATGAAACCTAAACTTAGGAGTATCATAAAGCCTCATTGCAACCCTAACCCTAGCCCATTATAATCTTAACAATTGCATAAATCCAAATTGCCATCGTAACTAATGCTAAATGTTTGATGAAATAAATTCTGCATAGGGCAATGGTCTATAAAACAGATGTTGGGTCACTGGCACTGCATGTACAGAAAACCTTGTCTTCATACGTATGGGATACTCTGGGATATATATGTACCTTCCAAGTACCGAAGGCAATTCATGTTTAGATTTGAAGTAACAGACCTGGGGTAAAGAGTTTGTTGTACCTAAACAGCTAGTATACCCTTGAAACGATGTCTTGATTTCTCACCGTTAAGCACCCAATTTCCTCACTGGATGGACTCTGACAGCTCATCGTCGTCATATTCCCTCCTCAAATCTTAAATCTCAAGAGTTGCTAGGAGCACTGCTCCAAGGCACATGTATCACACCTTGCTCATCTACCAAGGTTGCGATACCTAAATTAAATCATAGGGTGACGTCAAATTACGTGGCTCAGGGGTCGTCGTGAGACAGACGAGAGCGCTAGCTAGCTACACCTTCCTTAGAGCCGATTAACCTGTCCAGTTTATCACCGTCAAAAACGCCCCAATTTCACAAATTTTGAGATTGGCTTTGACTCACACACCCTCTGTAGTAGAAAGATAGAGAAATGAGGGCAGTGATCTTTAAACAAAATTCAGTTTGAAGGTACATGTATAGAAACCAGCTTGGAAGTCGTGATGAAGACAACTTTTCATGGCATGTTTCGCTGAGACTATAATTCATGTACAGTATAAATCATTTTGAAAGTGAACTTGCTGATTCATGCCTGTCTATCAGAATGAATTTAAAGCCATTTTTTATAGTAAGTAACTTCGAGTGAGTCAGCTCTGTGAAAACGTACAGATGGAAAGAAGATCTCAATGGAAACCTTAAAATGAACTCTGGAATAAAATCCAGAATTACCAGATCTTACTTTTTCTTTGTAGAATAAAAAAGAGCACTAGTAAATTATATTTTAGGTTATGATAGTTCAGGTATCATTATCAATGATCACAACGCGTTGGATGTTTTATGGAAATATTTTTGCTATTGTTTGAAAGATAAAAATAGGTGTTGCATCTTTGAAAGTAGACAACTGCATCTCTTATTCATCAATCATTTCTTTCCTATAAACAGTTGGGATTCCCATCAGTCCCTTCTATAGAAGTGTGTCACCAGTCATGTTCTTTTCATTGTTTTATAAATGTTAAAGGCGATGGACAATTCAGATACCGGTTTTCGATTACAGTCTCTCAAGCAGGAATAGCTAGGGATCAGATTGTGCCAGGCAGAAAGAAATACTGGTATTCTTGCAAGAAAGGAAAAAAAATATCCCTTGTTTAGGTTTTCATGAAAGTATTCATAATTATATTCAATCAAGCAAAAAGTCTACTACTGATTTAGTATCATGAAGGAATATTTCTATGATGGTCAATGGGTATTTTGAATTCCAAATCAAAATTGAAGTCGCAAACTTCTTACTTTCTCAAACTTGTTATTGTTTTGAAGGATGCTTCAGTGAGAACGCAGAGATGAGCTAGGATGGGGGAATTGTCTTTGATGATTAATTGCTTGTCTCCAACACGCCACTTGGCCGTCATAAATAAATGCTCCCTTATGGTGGCTTAGTCATCTCACACTCTGTCTAGTGGAGACAACATCAATCAGACGGATCAGGTCTGTTTCCATTAGCCCAAGTTTCCAAAATACCCAGTTACTTGTAATTCTGATCAAGGGGAATTAGGCTGACCAACAGCCTACAAGACTTACGACTCTATACACCAACATCCCATGAGAAGACAATGCTGGACCTTGCAGGTCTTCTGCAAAGTGATCTCTGTGTTCATGATACTGACTGGCCGTGAAACCTTTCTTCAAACTGTTAGCTCTCTTCAAACTTTTTGTGAAGGTTCATTATATGGACATTGTTAATCTGGTGGGCTCTAATTGGTCTACTGCAATGTCCATCATAAACCCAAACTGCAGCAAAGATGTACATACAGGTAGTGGTCTTTACCACGTTGCTTCAGATATTAGCTTTCATAGCGATCTCAAACAAACCAGGGCGTCTGGGTTAAATCACTTGCTATGTCTCTGATAAGCAGGTTAATTTGCTAGCGAAGACTTGCTCTAAATCCTCAAGTGAGCAGAAATTTGCTATACTTAGGCTCTGACTTCTTTCCCAAGTAGCCCTGATTGGTCTAATATCTCAAGCGTGCACTTGTTCAGGCTAATGATGATTGCACCTGAAGATTGGAATTGGGTGTGGTGATTAGGGGATAGATTCCCAGTACCCCCATTGCTCTAATTATTGTTCTGAAAATCCTCCTCTTTAATCATGATTGGCTTCTTGTGTTCCCGTTTAATTATTGTTTTCTACCTCTTCATGTTCATCTGGTTCCTGTCATTCTGTGCCAGCCTACACGTAGCTGTCTCTTATTTGTCAATGTCATATCTCTAAATATTTCTATACTTCTCTGTCTGTCTCTGTCTCTTTCTCTCTCCCTCTCTCTATCTTTTCCCTCCCTTTTCTCCTTCCTTCCCTCTCTGCATCATTTGACAATTGCTCACTCAATACTCTCTTGAGTCTAATTCTTTCCATTTTCAGGACTGCCCCTTTCAACCCTTCTGCCATGCTATATATCTACTTCTATCTGTCTCCCTCAGGAATCCATTCAATGAGATTGATTATAAAAATATATGATTGTTGACAGCTTAGTGTCTGAGTGTTCATTAAAAACATGCCTCTTGTTCATCCATTCCATCATTTGATTATTACCACCCTCTTCCTTCCATTGATGCTATCTCTCTGCCTCTTTCTCTCTGTCTCCATCTTCATTTTCTTAATCTATTTCTCATAGTTATTCAGTTCCTCCCTGTCTACATGCTAGTTCCCTTCTGGGTTTCTATCTCTCTAGTCATCTCTCTATCACTTTTGTAATCGTTTTCCTTTTCCTACTTCTATTGACTCCTTCTCATCACAAGTTCAGTCTCACCATCTACCCCCTAGCTCTTCCTCCCCTTTTCCCTCTCTCAACCTTATCCTTCCCTTATCAATCTCTCATTCTCTTTCTCTTTTTAATCTCTTATTTGTTTATCAATCTGTTTAATATTCCAATTATCTCATCAATTTGCCTTCTCTCTCTTTTTAATCTCCAAGTCTGTCATCTCTTCTCCTTTCCCAGTCTCACTCCTCCCTCGATCTCTCCCTCTTCCCCTCCGTTTTATGAGCTCTCTTTCTTTTCTCCCCTTCACTCTCTGTCCACCTCTTTATCTTTTTCCATCTTGCATCACTTTCTCTCTCTCTCTCTCTCTCCATCTCTCCATCTCCATCTTTCTTCGTCTGGCATCTCTTCCCCCATTTCCCCCATCTCTCCCTCTGCCTCTGGAATCCCTAACCCATCCTGAATAGAGGGATCATGAGTATTACGAGGAATGACAGCTTGGTGTTGAGCTCTCATTAATAACATGCCTGTTAAACATAGCTGTCCATGTACCGGTATACATAATGGTATACAGGACGAAGTAGCACAGGCAAACAGCCGTAATGGTTCACAGTGAGACGGGTTAATACTCTAACATTGTGCAGTTTGCTTAAACAGGGACCTGTTTTAATTTACAAATCTATCTACAATTCTTTTTATTTTTCCTGAGGAGTCTGATAGGTTTACAAATACAGGATATACATGTACATGTATATATATTCTGTCTTCCTATTTCCCATGCAGAACATCAGTCACTGATTCTCATCATAAATAGAGGAGAAATTTGAGAGGAGTTTCATACCATTATCAGCATTCATCTAATCTTGTATCCCATAATTTTTCAGACTAATTTCTTGACATCTGAGAGAGTGCTCATCGCTAATAGACATCCAAGACACATAGATACTACAAATTAAAGGCCAAATTTAACTCAGGAACTTGCTCCCCCCTCAATTGAAATCATCACCAACATTAGACCAATTCAAACATATAGTCTGAAGACATTATATTTACAATGCATTCTCTAAAACTAAATGCATTGATTGAACTTACCCTGTCAATGTTTGGTAGCTTTAAATATTAAACTCTAACACTGGCTCTGATGGCATCTCAATGTACTCTGTATCCATCCATTGGAAAAGGCACTATATAAACTGCAATTATTCTTATTCTCATAATACTGCTTTTAAGATATTAACCCTTGGAGACAGCTCCACTTTCCTGTCATGTGATTTTCTAGAGGGTTCATGCAGTCTTCTGCCTGAATTTTAGAATTGATAATGTGCCAAGAATCTCTCCTTTTTGATTGATGATTATTTGATTTATTCATTGGGGTGTCTGTAGTCTGCTGTTCTGACTTGACATTTACTGAGTCACGGTAGTCATGCCTGCCCTGTATGATGTCACAGATAATGATCCTATATTCAAACCCTATTTTAACTTTATTTGTAATCAAATCCATTACATTATCATAGTACAAGTGGAGATACTTAACTTTAACTACGTAGACAACCAAACATACCAAAGGAGTTAAGTGGTTTGTTTACAGATTCTTATCTTAACCACTTGACATTAATTGTATTGTTCCTTGTTTAGAATTGTCATTAAAACCCATCCACCTTCATGTAAAATAAATTAGTTTTTATGAGCTTTTTATTGACGAATATAATATTCATTGTATAGAACTGATTTATATCACCCCAGCCTTGAATCCATATTTATGAACATAATACCACAAATGAACTTTCAAGAATCAAGTTTGAAGAATTTAGCCAGGGTTTCATTGTCAAATTATTCCTGTGCAAATGTGAGATGACCATATACATGAAAGAGGTGGAGGTTAAAGTATGATGTATCAAATCATTATATTGTGTCTCTTTGAAATTTTATGTAAATTTTGTATCAAAGTAATTGTCATTTTATGTGCTTTTCATGATCCTCCCACTTTAGATATCTTATCATTTATGTTTGTATTTTGAAGTTTTTATAATTTTTTATTTTTATCTTGATGTGGAAATAAATGAAAATGAAAACTAAATCCTCTTTTATCTGTTTGTTCTTTTAATTCTTTACAGAATGCTAACCATGAAGTAGATTCATTAAGAGAAGAGCTTGCTGATACCAACAAGAGATTGAGTCACATGAGTACCGATTCTTCCCCCACCACACCCGACAACGACCAAGATAACAAAGGTAAGAAAGAGATTGGCTTGCACTGCACCTCCCCCATCCCCCATCCCCCATCCCCCATCCCCCATCCCCCATCCCCCATCCCCCATCCCCCATCCCCCTTATCCATTTCCCATTTCCCCTTCGCCCTTCCCCTTTCCCATTTCCCACCCCCCCCCCCCCACCCCCACCCCCGGATGAAAGTTGCTACACAGTATGTTTTAGAAAGGTTTCTCACTTGGATAGAAATTAAATTAAAATATATTTCTTGCTCCTATCCATAGTTGCAAATCTTTGCAGAGCTAGTTATTTGTGATTATTGTAGTCAGTCATACAATCACCAGCAATGTAGATCATTTTCTCACATAACACTTTGATAGAAGAAGAACCAACAGTACTGCCATTGACTGCAGGAACTAAGAGAGTGAACAGTTCTCACCTGGATAGAGATGAAGATGAGGAATATATTTCATACTCCTTTCTATACATATACTTGATATACCCATCAAAGAGGGAGGGTAATCTAGAGAAGTGTGTCACCAGTCAAGTTCTCTTCATTGTTTTTATGAATAGACAATGGACAACTTAGATGTTCAATTGCAGTGTCTCAGTGGAATACTCATTGGATCAAATTCATTGAGATAGTTGAGAGTTGATGATAAATAACCAGTTGGTTAACTCTCTTGTATGATCCTCTTTGACCTTTGACAGAATGGCAGAAGCAGCAGGATCAGCATAACCTGCAGAAGCTGAAAGACAAGTGTGCCAGGCTGGAGATGGAGAACAAGTGTCTTCTGAAGCAGGTGGATGATGCTCACATCCTGGAGCAAGACCAGGATGAGGTCCCCAATGCCCAAGATCTTAAGATCCAGCTTACCCAGACGGAGCATGAGCTAGCAAGGGCCAAGGAAGCACTTACAGGTTGGTGTCTTTGGCTTAAGCCATAAACTTGCAAGTTTGCAGGGTTTTTTTAAGAACATGCTTTTAAACAATTGTCTACTTTGATCCCATGATTATAGAATTGCAGTGAACATTATCCTGCAGAATTCTTGTGGAGGGTTATGAAGAGTTCTCTGTGTTTTGTCAGAGTTGGCAATCTCCTTGTGATTTAGCTGTTTGCATATATGCTTGCGATTTGAAAGAAATGAATAATTAGAAATGGCTGAGGTGAATGAGGATACTTAAAAAAAAAAAAACATGAGTTATCTATTATAACTGTCTGTAGATAATGGAAATGGCTATTCATTAGCCAGGGAAAGCTCTTTTAACTTTATAAACTCTTGAGAGTCAATAATGAAATGTTTTATCATAAAATCAAACCTCATGTGTATGACGTAGTCCTTACTGTTAAGCTCTAGTCAGTGATAAATCAATATAATCCTCTCTCTTTCTCTCTCTCTCTCCAGCAATGAAAGCAGATAGGAAGCGGCTAAAGAGCGAGAAGGTGGACCTTCTGAACCAGATGAAGCAGCTCTACTGCACTCTGGAAGCCAAGGAAGAAGAGATGAGGGACTTCATCCGTAACTACGAGCAACGGATGACAGAGAGTGATGCCAGCCTCAATAAGATTGTGGCAGAGAAGGAGGAGGTGGAGAAGGATCGCTGGGAGATCCTGAAGAGGGCGAGGGAGGCGGCAGAGAGATCGGTGGCGCTCAGGGAACAACTGGATAAGAAGGAGAAGGAGAATGAATGCTTGGAAGAAGAACTGGAGAAGGTAAGAGAAGAGAAGAGAACATAGTGTACTGTGGTGTGTGTGTGTGTGTGTAATTGGGTTTTTACAGACCTGTATCAATCAGATATGATAAATTACGTCTGAGGACCGACCTTTTACGTCACAATCCGAAAGACGTGACTCAGTTTCGAACCTGTGTCCTCGGCTGAATCAGTTTGTAACTTCCATTTTTAGCTGGATTACAGGCGCACGCCACAACGCCCCGTTGTGGCCATGTCATCGTTGTGTTGAGTTGAGTTGAGTTGAGTTTATTGATTTCACATTTCACATGCAGAAATAATACAGATAACAAAATGTACATAAAAGACATATTGTTTCATAATATAACAAAATGATTATATTAATTGACAAGGTAATCATCACATTTGTTTGACAACTAATATCATTTAAAGGAAACCCAGATAAAAGTACAAACTGTGAAATGTGCAGGAACCTATAGAAAAGCAGAGCTTGTAAAGAATAGGTTCCTGGGCGACTTGAAAAATAACAGGGACAGAAAATGTCCAAAAAATGGACAGAAATGGTCATGTCATATCATCACTTATTCTTAAACGTTATCCAATATTGCTTAGGCAATATTTAATCTAGGATTTCTTTGGCGAAGGTGGGAAAGAGTGAAAGATATGGTACTGGGGCATATCAAGAGAGTCTATGTAGCGTTAAGACATTTTTAGTGGGTTTTATTTCATCAAAGATGTGTAGTGTTTGGGCTTTGGTTATGATTTCATTTTAGTTCTGATAGGATTTGTGCTATGTGTAGAGTTCAGGTTAGGCTTAGGCATAGTTTTGGGGTCCAGTCCAGGGTGAGGGTTGAATATAAACTGTGTTTTTTAATTGACCTTGGAGTGTGCATCATACAATCATTAACCTAACTTCCCTTGTATTAAGTCAGCCGTATGACTCCTTTGTTAATTACATCTATTGCAAATTCATGTTCGTCATATTCGTAGCATCCATGTACATGTAATACAAACATAATCACCACAATGAGTAAATATTTGAGAATGCTCACCATTATTCTTCCAATCATCAGGTGAGAAGACAACTCATATCGGAGAGGAATGCCCCTCGGATCATGCTGAGCAACTCTAGCAGTGTGACTGACTCCATGGTGCTAGCTTCCCACTGCAGAGACGGCTCCATTGGTTCAGATAGCGTCATCTCGCAAGGCCCTGAAGGAGGGGACGTCAGCAACGCAGGATCGGACCTTCCAGAAACCCCACCCCTCTCGGCTCGTAGCGGCCGCAATACACATTCTTTCATTTCAGGTGAGAATCTTAAGGAAATGAACATGAAACTAGAAACTAAGCTACTTCAAACTTCCACTTTAAAGGCATTTCACGACATAACATTTTTAGGAATCTGGACTGCTGGCTGAATTTGCATCTATTACAGGGAGATAAACAATTAAAGTAATCTATTTTTAGATTCATTTTATGACAATATTTCTATGAGAAATTGATAAATTATGGCAGATAGGTGTTGCTTGTAGAATTGATAAGTTTTTTCTTTTCTATTCCTTCTCTTACTTACCGATTTTGCTCACCAAAAGTTCAAGAATATTCAGGTAGTGTATTAAATTTTCGCAAAAATTGGACGAAACTCATTTGGATTTGGCATATGCATTGTACAGCATGCTTTTTTCTGGGCTAAGCGGAATCGCATCTATCTATTCAAATTCATTTAAGTTCATACAAAAAAGAATATTGAACCGCTGGCCTTTGTAACCTGGGAAATGCAAGATTCATGCAAAATGGTCTAAATTAATGGTATTTCAAATGGTTTTAGATCGGATTGTGTGCTTTGGGGATATGATAAAGGGCAGTGCCATGAAAAGCTTCCCTTATGTCATGAGCGGTGTATATATTTATTTCAACCGAATATGAGAATACTTGAAAGAAACTTTAGTCAATGGTCATATCATGAGTCTTTAAAAAGCTTTACAGACAATACACTGATGAAAGGCTTATCAAGTTCAAGTTCAAGTTCGTTTATTTACACTCATCATTAAAAAAAATACAAGAACATATACAATTAAATGAGGAATAATCACACATAAAATATCATACATTCAACAACAACAAAATAACATAACATAATGGGAGTGAAGGGATGAGCTAAAAAGGAGTGTGGTCCTTATGCTAGAGCCCATCCCTCAGTATAATGTAAATAAAAGGTAAATTAATTGTTGTACGATTGGAAGCATGACAAAAAGAGGGAAAACAAGGGGGGGGGGTAAAGAGCCTGGTGAGTTATAGCACGTAGGATTCAATTAAATACATTTTATATTTTCGTTTAAAAGTTTGAAGACTTCTGCAATTTCTTATATTTATTGGAATGGAATTCCAAATTTTTGGACCATCGAAAGATATTGACTTTTTCATTAAAGTTGTTTTAATTTGAGGTAAGTGGAAATTAAATGCATTTCTAGTTTCATAATCATGAAAGGTCGAATTCAAATTAAAATACTTTAGAAGTGCACATGCTCTATATAAAAAATCTCTTTATGTTTGGTTGCAGTGACTTATAAATAGGGTGAAGTCTTATGCGACACATCAACAACAAAAATCATGCGATAACTCATGGGTTTGATGGTGAATGCAATGGATACTTATTATCAATGACTCATCGGTCATTTGATCCTATTGGGTTTATCTCTATCCTATCAGCTTACTACTGAATGTAATCAATGACAATGCAATGAAAGTGATAAGCTCAGGAAGCTGTTTGGGGCAAAATGGGGAGCAAATTTTCTTTCTCACTTAATTCCCTATTTGTGCTACATTATCTGAGCACATAGAGTAACACTCCCCCCCCCCCCCCCCCCAACAGATGATATATACATCACAAACAGCTTTTGTGAGTCTATATGTCTTCATCATTTCAATTAAAAGAATCAAAGCATATAAATATGAAGCATATATTGAAATGTCAAATATAGTTTAGAGAATACTTTGGGGCACATGGATGAAATTCTAAGTCCAGAATACTTGAATGAAATCAATGCTAAATGCATAACATTTACATTACATAGTGATGGTTTGTTGAATGAATCATGAAGTGGTTTTGACTTCTGGAAATATTAATTTGGTGATGAAGATCAATACAAGTCAAAGACTTCATACTTTCATTCACATTTCCGTTCACATAGTGTTGCTCATTGAAAAGAAGGTGCTTGGGTGCTTGCTTGCAATTTAATATGTTCTTTTAGACATTACTCCTGTCTGATACTATTTTTGATCAATTATTATCAAAGCCCCATCCCCCTCCTTCCTCCCAAAAAATAATAAAATACAATAAAAAATAAATGATTGAATGAAAAATAGTTGCTGTTTACAGTTTAATGATTATTCAGTCAGTTGAAAGAAGGTTTCTCCTGTATAAAACCACTGGGAACTTGCTTGCTACTTTCCTTTTGTATGTTGCTGTGTCGTTACTTGCACTGCTGCTTGTCTTGCTACTGTTGTGTGCAAATCTCATTGTTCTACTCCAAGCTAAAAAACAATCAAAGACCAAGTGACAAATTGCATCTGTTTGAAAAGGGACACATGTGATACAGACAGTTGTGTTCTTAAGGCCACTTGGGTGTTAATTCCTTTGATGTAGAATATGAGTAAAGATCTTCTGGCTCCAACAGAATGACTTGTCTGTCGGAGCTAAACGGGAGAAATTGAAATAGTCTAGTCTGTGGAAAAATTGTTTTATCTGACTTGACCAAAATCAGGCAGAGTGATTTTAAATGTTTCAGAAAATCTCAACTAGCCTATATTCTGTCTATTTCTATCGCACATGATTCTAACATGCTCTTTCTCTCTCTCTCTCTCTCTCTCTCTCTTTCTCTGATAAATACATGTTATGTTTGCTTTGTTGTTCTGCATTGTTCTTGCACTTGTACTTACACCTTGTTTGTCTTCTTTCTTTCCTCATTTCATCTTTTATCTACCACTCTCGTACCAACATCAACATTTTCTGGATCCATCCCAAATTTTTCAAATTCTATCTCGATACAACACACCTCTTTTTGAATGCTTCCATTTATCTCAACATATGTTCCTTTTCTGTAAATTGGGTCTTTTCTTTACTCCTCACTTTGTTCTTTGTGAATAACTTTCGCTCAAAAAACTTGTGTCAATGCTTTGTGGTGTGATCTATGTGCAATATAATCCCCTGAAATCATCAAACTTGCCTGTGGTTTCAACCTTTAAATATGCAACGGGTATTACATTTCAATTCCAAACATTTCAAAATGTCAACTGTTCCCTCATTTAATTTTATGATATATGATTTTATATTGTCTTCTTCTCTATTTGAAATAATCCATCAAATTTTTCATAAATCCACCCATTCAATTCCAAATACATGTGTACGTCAATGCCCCAACTACTTTTAAATGAACATTATTACCTGTGAAAACAACATGAAACCCAAATTAAACCATAAAGATAATACTTCAGCCGACAGCGAAAGCCGCGAGTTCCTGCTGTCACCGGCCGAGCAGCTCTCCAGGTCTTCTGAGGAACTATGCAACCTTGAAACAGCTTCAGTGACTTCTTCCAGGGAACGCTTCAAGAAGAGAAAACAGAAGAAGTTCAACTCGCTCTCCAAGATATTTGGCAAGAAGAATCGTGCAACACTGGAACAAATAGTATTTGATGGTTAGTTCTACAGGTTCAATTTATACATTGTACAAGTACATTATGTTGATGCTGCTTAGGTGAAATAATAAAGAATGATGTTCTTTCACTGGTACTACAATGTATGTTTCAAAATATTAAGGATTCATGTAGCTTCCTTGTCTTAGCATATCTCAACGCCACTTAAATTATCGGTTATTCAGTCATTTCCAAAGGTTGTTTAGAGTTTTACTTTGTTTCAGTATTTCTTTCAGAATGAGTATATACAGAATACAGTATGATTTGGAGGTGTTACAGTGCAGCTAGCTTTTTAAAACTAATAACCACTTGTGTGCTTGTACATTTTCTTATTGTTTATCAGTCTATTTTGTTTGTTATAGCGCTTAGAGACTTCGGTGGTAAGCGCTTTATAAGTAATGTTTTTATTATTCTTTTTATTATTTCCTTCCACAGACACAAATCTCTCAAGTTCGCGGCACAGCAGCACCTTGGAGCTCTTCTCCCTGGATGAACAGGAGAAAGCAAGACTGGCGGAGAAATGCAAGTCAACCCCGATGTCACAGTGGAAGGCAAACATGGTGGTGGCTTGGTTAGAACTGACTATGTGCCTTCCACAGTACAGCAAGGCATGTGCAGAGAACATCAAGAGTGGCAAGGTAAGATATTCATCTAGGTATTTGAGCTTGGAGAGCAGGGACACGTTTCACAAAGCCTTTTTTCAATAACAAATGACTAAAATCATTTACAAATCTACTGATAACCAATCAGAAGCAAGGATTTCACTAGCTTATAACAAAAACTGTCATTTGTCACTGATGACAATTTTTTTTTAGACTAAATATGGCATGTAACATCGTAAAAATCCAGGGTAGGATTTTTACGCCATGTGTTCGTGTAGTCCCATACACATCTTTCTGTGTACATTGTTTGTAACTTCACCAAGACCAAATTTCTTATCATTTTGACGATTCCAGAACCTTGCAGTAAACACCAATACTTAACTGCTGGATGATCAACCTTTTCTGATCGATTTCACAACGTTTCTTTCACAATGCAATCGCATGACCATAACTCAACTTTATCTTTAAAGTGTAATACCCTTCACATTTCTGTTTCTTATAAAACAGGGCTCAGTGAATAGACTCAAGTCCTTTGTGTTTGGTCTACATGTATAATAATCACAATGTATATCTCTTGTTGATTTATCTTGTTCAGGTTCTGCTGGGTCTTTCAGACAGTGAGTTAGACACAGGGATGGGTGTAACCAACGTGCTACATAGACGGAAACTCAGGCTTGCCATCGACCAGAACAAAGTGCCTAGTGATTGGTGAGTGTCAACCATAGATTAGAGATCTTGATCAATCTTACTCCATTCTTACCTTCACAGTCGGTATACCTGTCTCTATTTGTGTAATGTTTTTTGTGTCTGTGTACAGTCTTGTGCTAGTATTTGTGAGCGTATCTGATATGCTCATCTGAAGCTCTATTCAGAGCCCGAGTATGACCCTTCACATAAATGATGATGATCTTAAATTAAACATTAAAACTCAAACTCAAAATGTTGACTACCCTGACGACGGATAGTCAACCTGTTTGAAACATCGAGCCACTCCTACTACCCATCCTCTCCTACCGGCGCTATAGTTCTCTTTAGAACTATAAGCTCAAGAAAGATTATCAACAGTCTTTTTCAGGACTCCACACACACTTCAGAAAGAAAGATTGCCGGCAGTCCTTTTCAGGACTCTCCAATCCTCCCCCTCTCTCTCACACATGGTTCAACCGTTAACCTACTGTATACTTAAAAATGTTGTATTTGGAGGCTCTTCTTTGCACGTTTTTTATCAAATAAACCTCTTTTTATTTTTTCTCTTGCAGCAAATTTCCCAAAGCAGCTGATCTTGACCATTGCTGGGTAGCCAGGACGTGGTTGAATGACCTTGGTCTGGCCCAGCACTCACTGGTCTTTGAGTCAGAGAGAGTGGACGGTCGAGTCCTGTCCACTCTGAACAAGAGAGACCTGGAGAAATACCTCAAGGTCACCAGGAAGTTCCACCAAGCCAGTCTCCTGCATGCCATCGAACTGATGAGGATGCTCAAGTTCCACAAAGTGGTAAGCATCTAGAGGTGTATTTGCAGTAATAATGATAATAATAATATTCTGCTTTTATATAGCGCCCAATACATCAATACAACAATGTGTCTAAGCATTTTACAGATATACTATTACCCCCGTCATCGGATTCAGGCTTATCCGTACATAATGTATAAACATTCTCCACTCCCGATTATCCACTATATGTTATATTCCATAGAGTTTCCTGTCATAAAGTCCTGCTTTTATGAGATCTGGGCCCCATTTCGCAAAACTTGTCATCAGTGTCAAATGACAGTTTTTGTTATAAGCTAGTGAAATTCTTGCTTCTGATTGGTTATCAGCAGATTTGTCAATGATTTTTGTCATTCGTCATTGAAAAAAGGCTTTGTGAAATGGGGCCCAGATAGTATACTCTCACTAGTTGCAACATTCACAAGGCTCCCAATGGTCTTGAAGGTAAACTTGATGATAACTTCTGCTTTCAAACTGCATTGGTGCATCCCCTATATCAGAAGTTTGTACCACAAGAATGCATGATAGAGTGTCTTGATATAATATATTGTCTGGGTAGGTGGTATATATATATTTTGTCCTGAATACTTGCCTACTTTCGATATCGTTAAATTATATTTTTGTATATGTTCTCTAATTTCTTTAGATGCTAGCAGAGAGAAGAACACAAAGTGAGGACATTGATATGGATCCCTTAGTCTGGACTACACGGAGGGTCATGAAGTGGGCCAGATCAATAGACCTCAATGTAAGTACTACTCCCTCTTGTAGTTGTACATTCTTGATGCATATGAATGTTTGTGGCTTGGTATTTCTCTTTTCAATAGTGTATCTCTTGAATATTCTTCTCTTCATTTTCCTTATCTGTTCTCCTTTTTTCTTTATCTCTCTGTTTCTCTCAGATTTTTTCTTCTGTCTCCTTCTCTTTATGACATTTAATTCCTCATTATTCAGGTTTTTTCTCCCATCTATCTATTGTGTATTCCATTCTGATACATCACATATTTATATTCCATTAACAAAAAAACAAAAAATTGACTCTATCCTCATGAAAATAGGCAAAATAAATACATGGGTGTATACTACAGCATCATGTTAACCTATGCAAATAGATAAGTGCTCTTCAACACCACCCCACTGTAAACTCTCACATGGTACATGTAAGTTCTGTCTCATTTTCAAAAATGACATGTGCTCCGAAATATTTTAGGTTTCAGTCCCAGTATCAGAAAACGATATCTGCTCCATAATTTACATTTATAGGATATGTATTAATTACAAGTTTGCTTTCTTTCACTCATCTTTGCTTCTTCAGGAGTATGCAGAGAACCTGGTAGACAGTGGGGTACATGGTGCCCTGATGGTTCTAGAACCTTCCTTTGATTCTGATGCCATGGCCAATGCACTAGGAATCCCATCAAGCAAGAACATCATCAGAAGACATCTCACAACAGAACTCAATGCATTGGTCTTACCAGCTAGGTCAGTCTCAAAGCCTTCTTCTTAAATGATACCATAAAGAGTCTTTTAGAGAGAGAGGTAGAGGTGTTGTCGTCTAGTGGATAAGTGGTCGGACTGTGGGTCACAGGGTCCGCGGTTTCGAGTCCCGCAGCACTTATGTCCTTTGGCAAGATATCAATCTACAATTGCCACTCTCCACCCAGGTGTTAAATTGGTACCATTAGGGAGAAATACCTTGAATGCTGTGAGCGCCGAAATCGGCTGCCTAGCAGAACCGGGGTAATAGTTGGAGCACCTTGAGCACCATGCATGGTGGATATGTGCGCTATATAGATATCCAATATTATTATTTTAATTTTTTTAAGTCAAAGAATTGCCTTAAAACTCTCTTTAAAAATCCACCCCAATAAACTACCTAAAAAACTGTTCTCATCCTTTTGAGAAAAGAGGAATGATTTTATGGGAAAATGAATTTGTTGGAAGATGCATAACCTTGAGGTGCATTACTTTTCCGTCACTTCATGCATGCTGGACATGTCTTGTGCTGTGTTCAAACTGCCTGGTGTGGATTAGGCTTTAAAGGAATGCTCTGTAATTGGTCTCTGTAACAATCAATGTGTAGATCTTTCATGGTTTTATGGCTGCCAAATTGCAGTGTGCTGTATTAAACTACAAGACTAGACAATGTGACAGAAGAAATTTATGAAGAGTTACAGTGTCATTTAATAGTGATTGTCACCTATTGATGTTTAGGAATGAATTTATTTCTGGCTTATTGGGAGGTGGACATGTCATTTATCAAATAATTATCTTACACAAACAGGAAAAAATGTGAATTAAATCAGTATAACTTTAGGTAGACATCAGTGATTCAATTCCAGTAACAATCAGAAAAAGAGAGTTCAATTAATGAACAAAATATGGGTGTATCTGCCTCTCACATTTCTTAGCTTGATAACACTTGGGGAGTGTCTTCCGAAAATGTATTTATCAACCATGAGTCCATAAGTACTGCATGCGCTTTGTTTGTGTGATCCAGTGAAATTATTTGTTGTGACGTCTTTCCTTCCCTGACTAACATACAGAGCTGCCTTACAGCCAGTCAATGGTACAATGGATGCGAGACACAGACGAGCCAGCGCTGGGGCTCTGGGAGGAGGAGGAGGATTCCAAAGGTCGTATAATAGTAACGGAGAGAGCAGGAGTAAACCCACATTCAGGGTGAGTGAATGATTGTCTAAGGGATGTAACCAGCTCTAGGATTATACATTAAAATGACTCGATAACATTGTCTCAGATTATGAAACAAAATCCTGGATTTAGCTCATGCTGCAATGAAAATTATAAACCTTTAGGTCAGTCAGGAACCCCATGACCTTTTACAAGCCGATCATCTGTCTGATTATCAAGATATTTATGATTGGAAATCAAAATCAAAATTTTCCGTTTTCCTAATGGTTTTTATAACACTACAGTCTATTGGGGGAAATGAGTAACGGTGAGATAACCGGTCGCTCAAAGATTTTTTTTACTTTTTTAGGCACTTCATGATCAGTTTGAAGCCCAATTTTTTAGGGCTTCAAAATTACACCATTTCACAGACACTGATAACATGTAAGGCCATACATCTCAGATTTAATATTGTTAAACGATGCCTTTAAAGGTTAAGGCAGAATAGGAAGTTTAATCTTGGTAGAATGAATAAAGATTATTTTCAGAAAATATTTCTTATAGCTTCAGGGTTTAATATCTTCATTTATTTGTGATGCTGTAAACTTCTTTCTGAATTGAATTGAACTGAATTAAATTGAGCCCCCAAAGAAGGATTTTCAGTATGTCTTTGTGATTTAAAAAGAACAAATCATGTACAACAAATGAGAAAATTATATGTCATTTACGAGAATTTGAAGCACAATAGTTGGCTTTTTGGGGGTTTACAAACATTTTTTCGTATTTGGAGAGCATAAGGGTAAGGGGCATGGTCTAAGACAACAGAATAAGTAAAAAAAAAAACAGTAAAATTGCATCAATAATCTGAAGTGTAAGACATGAAGAATTATTTTGATATAACATCTTGTGATAAACTTCTGTTTTAAATCCTTGACCCTTTAAACCTTGTGTATGCATGTGTTAGTTTGTTTGTTTGTGCAGTGTTGGAATGATTGTTGCGTTAAGTTGATGACATGGTTTTGTGATTTGATAATATTATTAATGACCCCAAAACACAGGTGGGAAACCTTGTTTGTGTAGTTTCAAATCTTCATTTCTTGTTATTTCTAACAGCCTTTTATATCCCAATTCATGATAGTACCCAAACGCAAATTTCCCTTATTTTCAAAATCTTGAACATATTTCCTTTCTTCTTTTCTTATCAGGGCTCACTTGGACGAGCTCTCGGACGGAAGCTTCGTCAGGATATGAACACTTACGGCTCGACCTTTGGTGCCATGCCAGAACAAATCCGCTCAAAATCACGCAGCCAGGAATTCACCCAAGAGAGCACCATAGTATAGGGCTCCCTCTTGTGACTCGCCATGTGGTAATTTGCAAAGACTATACCATAGCTGACCTATAGACCTATTTTGCCTTTCATGTGGATATTAGGAGTGACTCCAGATTGTGCTATACTTTGTGTGGAGGTGAACAAACTATTGACAAAGTCAGGAGGAATTTAAAAACACTTGCCAAAAGTAAGAAGATGACTGCATTTTTGGAACGGGAAAGAAAGATGGGAGGAACTTGGGTAGTGCTGCATTATGGAAGAGCGGAGCAGAAATGGAAACAATATTCATAGTTGCCAATTTGAAGATTGCAGCGATTGAGATGTGACAGATATAGCAGTGGTATGAAGATGCTGAAAAGAAAGGGAAATGGAGCACTAAATGATTTATATGAATTTGAAATACATGTAATTGGAATGGATCTGAAGCCATCAAAAGAATTTCACCCTATTGAGAGAAGCAAGTAAGAGGAAAAGGCATTCTGCAAACTGTGATATTGAAAGCCGTTAGCCACTTTGATGATCATGGAGACTATACACAAAATAAAAAAGCTCTGGTGTTATTGAATGATAATCTGTCTTCAGTTTTGCATATTGAATGCAACCTTCGGAGAGGACTTAAAGCCGTCGGTCCTCTGGTTGCTTGCTTACAAGCATACACATACTTTCTTAGCAGTCAGGTAAACCAAACCTACATGTGTATGAATTACATTGATAAGTGTAGGAATGGAATGATCATGGCACAAACTATCATCTTGGACTTATAGCCTGGACTTATAGCCTACATGAACATGTATGTGCTCCCACCCAAAGAAACTTAGATACATGTTAGTTATCTCAGGATGTATTCATAGTCTTCATCTCCAGGTGTTTCATTAGACAAAATGTCTAATTTGAATACTACTTTCATCTCTTAGACTTGCGATCCAGATACTTAATTCATCTGTACATATACAGAGATTACCATCTATGCAGTTCATTGTTGAGAGTCGTTTTGTGTGAATAATAATTTTCAGAGTATTATATTTGTTGGATGAGTGAGTTTGTATTTTGACTGCCAAAAATAGAATGGAGTGTGATGAGTGAAGTGTAAGCTGGAATTTAACCTGGTGTCACAAACATTTTGGATATATCTAACCCATCGCCTGTATTTAATCTAATAGACTGGGAGAATTTGGTAGCCGATGGCTTAAGCAATGGAGACCCATTGAGATGTATATTATTTTTTGAAAATACATTGGGGGGTAAAGATTGGTTCAAGCATCTAGAAGGTATGAGATTGAAGAAAATGCATTGGTTAATGTTAATTCATTTGAAAATAAATGTCTAAATTTAAAATAGAATTAATATTGATACCGAGATAGAATTATTTTGATTTTAAAGTTCTTCTCTGAACTATAAAATATGCGATTATTTGCATTTTCTTTCCTTGAATCTTGAACCTTGAATTTCTAACTATTAAAGTCAGCAATCAAAAACTTATGGCACTCGCTTAACACTTTACAAGTTACTTACCCTCATGTCTCGTTTAAAAATACTTGATTTCTTGACAACCATCCGAATATTTGTCAGTATACAGTGAGTGTTGAACATGCTAGTTGTGTGTATATATTTTGTTACATTTCAGCATTGCTAGATTTTATGTGAATTTGATGCATTTTGAGTTATGTTTATGTGCAATTTACGTCTTAAGTTTGACATTGTGATATCGAAATATTATTGTATTAAAACCTTTTTTTTGTACACCCTGTTATGAATGATGATCCATATTGAAAGGGGTGATACTTTATTTGATATTGAAAATTTCATACGCCAAGGAAATAAGAAACGGACACACTTACAGACACATGCATTGTAGTAAATGAAGAGAGCACTTCAAGCAGCATTAGTCAAAGGAATTATATTTTGTCACCCCTATTTTTACCTGTTTGAAGAGATTCATGCACATGTTTTTGCACAAGATTTTATAATTTTTGGTTTATGTGACGCTGCTGAAATTTCAGCTGTTTTTTCAAAGCACGCGTTTCGTTTTCTTGATAAAAGATTGTTTCATTCTTATGAAATTGATTTTCTGCACTCCCATGTAGACCGAGGTATAATCTGAGATTGAGTTTGTGAAGCAATAAATGTAGCAAGTAAATGGTTAGCCAAAATAAGTGAGACGTTTTGAGTAAAATACATCCTTAGATGGATATTACATAAGAGTCCAATTTTTTTGGGGGAGAGAGAGATAGAGATCGATCACCGAGTTCTAATGCATCCTCCTCAAATGGTCTTTCATTTGTCATGTTAACATTCAATTTCATTCTTTTTCTTTTCCAAAGAGAGCATTATTTTGTTTCATCGTATCCTTCCCTTCTTTCATTTAATGGCTTTCATACAATTTGTTTTGGTTTTTTCCTATTGTGTTGAAGATGTTTTGTTTTGGGGGGTTCATCATTTTCAATTAATGGGACTTTATACATTGTATGTATAAAGAGCAAATGCATTTGGGTTATTTTCAAAAGTGCACCAACTTTGGTGTATGCTGTCCTGATGTAGAAATCATGCATTATCATGATTTTCGACAGCTGCCGACAGCAAGTGTTTAATTATTTTGGGGTGTATGTTTGTAAATTGGCAATATTTTTCTTTTCTTCTCTGTGTAAAAAATGATTGTGAGTGCATGAATTGAATTTTGAAAAGTAGTTCATGATTCTTATAGATTATTAATCAGGACTAAAGTTTCATTGGGTTATCTTCTCATTTGAAACAGAGCAAGCTTTATGAAATGTATTTGTATATTTTGCACTTTGGAAAGTTTTCTTTTTGAGTAGAGTTATAGTTTGGTTTCAAATTTCATCATCTCATAGTATTGTATTAGAATTGTTATTTTGAAGACTTCTAAAGACATTGAAGCTTAAGAATTATGTCTGACACATTTTATCCCACCTTTACAATGGAAAATTAAAGTCGAGCAAAACATGATGGGTCATTTGTCTTTCCCCTTTTGAGGAAAAATATTTCTCCCCCACCCACAGCATTCTGAAAATTATGCTACTCCTTTAACTTTTTGTCATTCAAACCTCGGGGGGGGGGGGGGGGGGGGGGGGGGGGGGGGGGGGGGGGGGGGGGCTTTATATTTCTCAATTTTATCCGATTTAGTGAGCCCCTTTAATCTGGAAATTTCTTGACTGGCTCTTAATATCTCTGTCATGTTTATGCATTTTATCCAAGTTTACTTCCTCTTTGTTACCTGATGTCTCTCTTTTTTTCCTTTGAATGTTGGATATAAATTAATTCCTCCTCCACTTCTGCTTAGAACCAGAAAGGCATTGAAACATATGCTTTTATACACCCTTCTGTCTCTACAGCAGAACATATATATGAGTGGATGTAAAACCCAAAACTGGCAAATTTCAGCTCTGAAATTTTGCAAATCACAGAATTACATAATGGGTAGTGGCTGCTATAATGATTCATGAAGTTTTGTTTTGCAACATTTTCTGGTTTTACATGTTTCTAATTATTTATTGGTAATCCAAGCAGCAGATACTGCCTTATGAAAATGAAATACTAATAATTGATTTTGTTTAGAGAGAGTATGAGTGATGGATGAATTCTAGATTTAATTGAATGCAGAGAAATTAAAGAGATGTATTTTGAAGAAACTATGATGTGGGTGATCATGGTTTGTGATTTATATAAAGATCTATAAATATATATATATATTAATAAAACATGAATTCAGCATTTGATATATGAATTTACAGACGTCCAGTGTTATTTTTTTTCTTCTGATCTTTACTGAAGGCAATTACAAACATTAATATGTCTTTATTAGTAATATCAGTACCTTGTTGTTGTGTTAATACAACATGCGATATGTTCTCACTAGGCAAATTCAATTTACATAGTGTGGAAAAGGAAAGGAAGCGGCATTGTAGACAAGTGCTTGAGATTGCTTAAAGAGAGGGGGAAGGAAGGAGGGGGAGGGCAAAAGAAAGAAGAGAGAAAGATTATGAATGAGAGAGACAGACAGACAGACAGACAGACAGATGAGAGGGGAGGACGAGTGAGAAAGAAAGGAGAGAAGAAAGATTGTGATTGAGACAGAGAGATGGAGTGGGAAGGGGAGGTAGAAAGAGAGAGGGGTTGGGAAACTGAACAAATTGGGAGAAAAAAAATTCTTTAAAATGAGATTTACAAAAAGAGAGACAAAACCCAGTAAAATATGGGAGTGAGAAAGAGAAGGACTAGTGTGACCCAAAGCAAGGATGAGAAAAAGCTTTATGTAAAGTCACAACTCTTCTTTCCTTCCTTTTTCTCTATATCCTTCTGCATCTCCATCTCTCATGCCCATCATTCCTCTCTTTATCGTCTCACCATCCACCCTCTTTCTCTGTCTACAGAAAGAAGGCGATTCTCTGTCTACCCCTCTCTATCTCTCTTCCCTCTTTCTATCTCTCTTCCCTCTCTTTATCTCTTTCTCTCTTCCCTCTCTCTATCTCTTTCTCTCTTCCCTCTCTCTATCTCTTTCTCTCTTTCCTCTCTCTATCTCTTTCTCTCTTCCCTCTCTCTATCTCTTTCTCTCTTCCCTCTCTCTATCTCTTTCTCTCTTCCCTCTCTCTATCTCTTTCTCTCTTTCCTCTCTTTATCTCTTTCTCTCTTCCCTCTCTCTATCTCTTTCTCTCTTCCCCCTCTCTATCTCTTTCTCTCTTCCCTCTCTCTATCTTTCTCTCTTTCCTCTCTCCATCTCTTTCTCTCTTTCCTCTCTCTATCTCTTTCTCTCTTTCCTCTCTCTATCTCTTTCTCTCTTCCCCCTCTCTATCTCTTTCTCTCTTCCCTCTCTCTCTCTATCTCTTTCTCTCTCCCCTCTCCATCCCTACCCTCTCTCATCTGTTTTTGTCCCCAATATTCATTGATGATCAGACATTCATGTATACCCCTGTGACATAAAACTGCTCCAGGCTTTGTTTTATCAGCGATGCTTGGAATTGGGTTTTAGCTTAGGTTTAGGTTTAGGGTTCGGTTGAGGGTCAGGTTTGGTCCAGGGTTTAACTTAATAATAATAATAATAATAATCTTTTAAAGTCCACTCCAAATTTTATTTGATAATATGATTAATGTAGGATGCTGACCATGGAGCTTTGTCGATGGAGCATGTCACAGAACTATCCATCCTCTCCTTCCCGCCTCCCTCCTCCCCCTCTCTCCTCCCCCTCTCTCCTCCCCTCTCTCCTCCTCCTCTCTCCTCCTCCTCTGTCCACCAGTGAAAACAATACTTAATAAATACATGCAACAATAAAATACACAAACTAGCTTTCATATTTCATTCAACTTTAATTGAATCATTTCTACTCAGTGTAGATTCTCTAGTATTTACAATACAAAATCTTTGACCGGAAAATTATGACAGAACAAACAAAATCAATGTCCAATAGAAATGATTCTCCCAAGGTGCTGTCTTCTCCATGGCAACGGAAAACAAATTACAGGTAAAAGATGGAAAGGACGGAAACAGATTGAAGCGCACACATTAGGCAGATGAATACATTACATGGGAGGGCAGGAGCTCACAAAATAGTATATTTAAATCTATTGCAAGGGTAAGATTTCTTTAGCTTGTGCCTCAATTATCTCAAAGTAATGGCTACAGAATCAATGTCTTGTTAATTCATATCACTTAAGTCAAGCTCACATGACTTTGAATATCAAATACTCATTTGCTTTAGTGATATATATTCTGAAGCCCAACAGATGGCTATATCAATATCTGGTTAATATGTTTGCAGTTAACATTTTATCAACAATACAGTTTCATATACTTTAAAGGTTTGAGGATAAAGTATCATCGTTTTGATTATCAAAAATCTGAAAGAAAGATCAGTTCCACAAGGGATTTCTGCTTTATTATCCCAGAGATCAGTAGCTTAAATCTGTGGTTGTATTGGTTGAAATTTAAATCAGCATGATTGCAATGACATTGTTATCTCTGTTTTTAGAGAGGGGGAGGGGGGATCAAACTTCTCAATTTGCATGCAAAAGTCTGTGCTCTCAAAATGCTATTTATGGCTACAGTGATGACTTCATATTGTTTATTTTATTTTAGAATAAGACATGTACATCAAAATGATAATGCTGTTATCCTTTTTCCTTAATGGTTGCTGAACATCAATCATTGGTTATTAACTGTATATTTTACATGCTGTGAACAGACACATCATTTCCAATGAAAAACTACATACAAAAGAAAGTGTCAATCACAACAAGCAAAAGTTTCCAGCAACACCTTAAAGATGCTTAAAATAACATAAAATGATTTGGTATAGACTTGAATGCAAACGGCACTGACTACATAATGTAAGACAAATTTCAGTGGACTTTCCATAAACAGGCAGCATACGACGATGACCACTACGATGTTGACTACGATGACGATGTCACATTCAAAGTTTGCAAGGTGAATGGTGATGATTGTGTGCAGAAGATTTTGGTAGTAGCACGTACATGTATCTCTTGATCATACTAAATAAATCTTTTAAATATATCTCTTGCTATTGTTCTTCATACACAGGAATACTGAATGTTTTGAATATAATCTGAAGTAACTACTCTTTCATTAAACTCTCCTTCACAAAAGTATAAATGGTGGAACACTCCCTGACTCTATGCAATAGTGTTTAACTGGCATGACAACAAAAATAAAAATGCAAGGCTTTTTGTATATTAAAGGAACTTAAATACCATTATTCTACTCAAATTTGGTCAAAAGGTTTTGGATCAACCAATTTCAGAAATTAAAAAAGTTGGGTTTTTTATGTTTGCGATTTCTCTGGTGTTTAAAGTAATAAGACTTAAACTTCAAAATTCTGATCAAATTATCAAGGCAAGATATTTGAGGTAAAATTTTAAAGAAGAAGGGGAGAAAAGCTTTGCCGTCCCTCCCCCTCCGCAAAAACTAAGAAAATATCTAGCAAGAAATAGTCTGCATTTTTTCATTAGACTATTCAATCCTCTTCAAATACTACTAGCCCAAAATGCCAAAGTTTTTTGCAGGCCGACCTGCATCTAAAACCGTAGAACTCCAGAGTCGATGGGACTACATCGGCCACCAACATCAAACACTTATCATGATTTTTATCTTGTCCAGTGAAAACCTAAAACTTCAAAATAGTGCATCACAAACATGTATGTCAATGGTTCCCGAAGAGTGTTTTCAGTGTAAATTTTGAAGGGATTAATTGGCAAACACTTTTTCTGTATAGTTGTTGAGCTTCCTCACAAAGAGCTCAGTATATTCTCCATAAATACAGTATTTTCTATTTGATCTAATTTGGTAACAAAAATAACATTCATATAATTGATCTCTAAAAAAAAAACTTTTTTAAAGTAAGGAAAGGAGTTTTCATCTACTTTTCCATCTACTTCATTCTTAAAACCACAAATATCTTTCAAATGTAGATAACCATTTAAGTTCTCAATAAATATATTTCCATAATATTTTTCACATATATCTGTTTTCCTGAAGACAATGATAGAAAAAAAAAGATGTTCACTAAAATAGTGACATAAACTATGATGTTTTCCACATGGATGAAAATTCAACTCTATATCTCCTTTTTCTGGCAGAATTGAAATTATATTCCATGCATTTTATATACAAATGTGACTTTAACTTGCTTAGTAAAAGTTGCTCAATTGAGAATAGAATGTAGATATGGTATGGTGAATTTTGACCTCACTCACAATGTACATATATAGATAACATCACTATTGAGAACATGATTACATGTAATAGACAAGTTTACTAACATATATACAAATTTATATCTTGCATCAAAAAATATGTTGGCTTTTGATTGGTTGAGAGCTTGTCACATGACCAGAAATATTTGACCTATTTTTAGAAAGTACTTTATGAGAGTACTATTTTGGTTTACTATTTGGGAGTGTTTTTTTTAATTGAATCAATTTTTTTTTTCAAATCATAATTTAATAAAAAAAAAATTTTTAAATCTTTTTAGATAAAAATTTACATTTTTTTGTTCTAAACTTTTTTTCCCCCAATTTTTTTCTTTTTTTTAAAATAAATTTTTGATGCAGGATATAAAAATATACTATGCCTTCTATTCGAGGTACTGGTTAAACTATGGGCCTCGGTGACTCCAAAAGTACCATTTGCTACGGGGCTGCGCCCCTCAGCAAATACTTACTATTGGAGTCACCTCTTGCGCATAGTTTTAACTAGAACCTCTCAAGGCAGTGTATATTTGTATATTATGGATGTTTCTTCACTGGGGACCTAGTGACTCCATTAACCTGTTATTAATGAATGAACTACAATACTTGGAATCCAGTCTGCATGTATAACTTGTTGCTATGTCGGGTAAGCCTCAGACAAGCTTTCAGTAGGCATTAATTTTGAATATGTTAGTAAACCGGTCCATTGGAGAGAAATGAATCAATGCTATATAATATATAGAGATATAAATGTGATGGGGAACACTTGATAGTCCTGAACAAACTTGATGATATTTGTGACTTACAAATAATCAGAATCTTTTACCAGTCTTGACTCCTCTTGATGATCTACATCAACATTTGTCTCAATTTGAAGCTACAAATTCAAAGCAAATTGCTACTAACTCTTTAGTGCCACTTCGGATATTAATATCACATGCAGCGATGTATGCTAATACTCATCTGATCTACAGATGTTAAGTAGCTTGACAATTCACGACTAGCTAGCTCATGAGGAAATGGTAAATAATTTTCACACACAATTAAGAACTTGAAAAACATGGAATAAAAAGTGAATAGTTCACAGCTCTTATTTACAACCACTACAACAACCAACATGTACACATGTACGTTGCATACAATCATGAACTCAAAAGGCTTTGACAAAAATGTCAAGTCTTGAGTATATACATGTACATGAAATGTAAAGCAAGACCTACAGTATAAACAAAACTATATCATCCTTTTTCTTCTAAAAAGATTTAAAACATGGCATGAATAAAGCTTTGTATTAAAATAAATAACTATTCACTTAAAGTGTCATCAATGTATTAAAAAGGGCAGATGATTTCAAGCAGTTCATTATGCACCTGTGTTTTACTATTTCAGAGGATAAACAGCATTCAAAATTCTGAATAAAAAAGAAGTGATTGAATTCATCGATTGTAAGCAATCTAATTTAGTAGAGATATTTATGAATTTGTAATGTCCATTCAGCAATTCAAGGATTTGAAATACAATTGATAATGTTTAAAAAATGCATTTTAAAAATATTTTTTTAGATACTTAGCTACCAAGACAATAGACAATTGTGTGTATATGTTGGTTGCTTTATCCCCCAAATTATTTAAATGTAATTTGTGGTTTGGATAATAAAGTAAAAGCCTTTAAAGAACATAAAATGTATGTGTTTTTAGGACTCAGCAGAGAAAGTGTGCAAAATTTGGTAAAACATTCAATTTCTCAACACATTAATTGAGTTCTGTTAAAGACAAATTTTGGCAATGGTATCATTTAATAAGTACATTTTGTGATAAATTTCATAAAGCTTTCACAAGTTCTGAAAGTATGGCGGAATGATTCTGTTCGACACTAAGCGAGGGTAGTGATAGCATGCGATTGTTATCTCCGCGGATCGTCACGATGGCTAATTGCGACGACGGGCCGCTGCTCTGCCGACTCGTCTCTAAGGATAACATCGGGAGGAGGCCCTCTGCGACGCTGTCAATCATGTATGGGTCGTCACCGGTCAGGTAGGGGTGATGGAGGGTGGTGGCAGGGTTGCTTGCATTGTTGCCACTGGTTGGGGTGGTGTTGTTGTTGTTGTTGTTAGAGGTGTTGGCTGCTGTTTGGGCTGCTGCTACTGCTAGCACAGCTGCTTGAGTGTTATACTCTCGCTTCGGCCTGATCAAAGGAAAGGGAAACAAGTAATACAACAGAATATTAGATACATGTGAGGTTTTAGTGTTTTTAATACAACAATGCTATATACAGGGGTGCTTATCTATTTTCAGTATCTTTTGAGTAATGACAAAAGTTAATCTTATCAATGTATTAATATTAATGTTTGTAATTTGAAATTTTGAAATTTAAAGAATGTATTAATCATTAATCCACAAATCCATAAATTCATAAAACTGTAAAATCAGAAACTTTCACACGCAAATAACTTTTGTGAATGCATAATCATGCGAGGAAACATATATGAATAGATAATTTCAAAACACACTTGGCAATATTTGGAAGTTTCTTGCTACAAAATAATGTTGTTACACATCAACAATTAGGTAAAT